CCCCCCCCCCCCCCCCCTTCTTTTCTTCGATGTGCCAAAGTCCAATTTTGAACGTTGATCGGGTCAATCAAGCGCCCTACGGCGTGATGAATAGCTCGAGCCCTGCCCCCGTTCTTCTGGCCCATACAATCCACACTCACACTCGCGACGGCTGTCAATAACGACTTTTGACTGTCATGCGAGCGCAAGCGCGTTTGCCGCTCCTCCAGCAGCAGCAGCAGCAGCAGCATTCATCGGCGAGGGAGCGTGCCGCATCGAGCGAGCAGCAGAGCTAGAGCATCCGCTGCTGGTGTGTGCTGAGTGATCGCACGCAAGGCGCGGCGGGTGCGTGATGAGACTCGTGACTCGTGACTGCAACTCGGAACTTGCTTGCATGCATGCATGCATGCATGGACCACGTACGCACGGGAACTCGACTCGATCGGACTCGGCCATCCAGCAAGCAGCAAGCAAGCAGCGGAGGCGGTGGGCGTCTTGATTGACTCTACCCCATGCAGCGAGCGCATTCATGATTCATTCACTCGCGACTCGCGACTCGCTACTCACGACTCACGACTCACTCTCACCGTTTCGTGATTGTGATTGCAGCTACAGGCTCGTGCGCACGCCCACCCACGCACACACACGCACACGCACACGCACACGCACACGCACACGCACCGCTACATAGATCTCAGTCAGAGTCCGAGAGCGCTCTACACAGTCACTCGGACTCCGTGCATGTTTGCCCCTGCACCACTACCGCACATCCCGGCCACTCTTGGACGCTACGCAGCATCGAAACCTTAGCGCAGGCGAGGTACCGTTCAGTGCAGGCGAGGAGCTGCTTTATTGGCGACTTGTCCAGAGCAGAGTTCTCGAACGCTCACGGCGCGCTACCTATTCGAGGAGCTTCTTGCACTGCACTGCACCATCCACCACCTCCTCCCCTCCACCGAGCGTGGACCAGTCTAGCGTCCGTCTGCAACAGCTCCTGATTTGTCAGGCATCGATCTGTCTGACCGCATCCAATTCCACCTCTGCACCACCAATTCTCCCAAGTACCTTGTAGCGCAAGCTGTAATGTCTGCGCTGACACCAGAGACTTTGGCAGCGCTGCGAGCGCCCATCCTCCGGATCCTGCGAGCGTCTGATCTCCAGAGCATCAGCGCTAAAAAGGTCCGGGCGCAGCTGGCAGACAGCGGCTTGCTGGGTCAGCTGGGCGTCAATGTGGAAGAGAAGCTTCACAAATCGGCCTTGGATGATGAGATCAGAGGTGCTTTCGCCTTGCTGGATGCTGAACGTCAAAGGAATGGAGCGGCTCCTCTGGGCAATGCTGCTGCTGCTGCTGCTGCTGCTGCCGCCGCGCAGCCCGCTTCTTCTTCGGCACCGGCGGTGCATCAAGGCATCGCCTTGCCTGGACTGGGACGCAGGGGCGACTCTTCGAGCACCAGCATCACTTCTTCCGCGCCTACCATTCCTCACCGCGTCAAAGCGGAGCAAGATGCGCAAATGGCAGCTCGCCTGCAAAAGCAGTACGATGCGGAATCTGGTCCTTCCACTCGAAGATCCAACGGAATCAGCTCATCTTTGGGCGGAGGCAAGCGGAAGAAGTTGGGCGGAGTGAGCAAGTCGGACGATGTGATTAGCAGCGAGGAGGAGGTGGGAGTTGTGGGCAACGGGTCGGGCAGCAGCGGCAGCGCAAAGAAGAGGAAGAGCTCGAGCTCGAGCTCGAGCGGGACAAAGTCGAGAAAGAAGAAGGAAAAGGAGCTGAATGCGGATGGAACGGAAAAGGCAAAGAATCCGAACAATCCCTTCAACAGGCCCGTTCTGCTCAGTCCCGCAATGGCTGATATATGCGGCGGCGATGAGGTGAGCGGATGCGAGACGCTTTACGGGCGATCTGTGCCGGCGTGTGCTGCGTGTATGCGCTCGAAGAGCTGCGGAGCGCGCTTCACAATGTCCTGAGGGCCATCTTGCGGCAGTGAGAAAGGCACTCGATGCTTTGTGTAGCGCGCCGAGACGCTATTCAGTTCTTCGTGGTGCCCGGTCGCTCACCTTGTCTTCCTCGATGCTTTTCTACTGCAAAGATGCCGAGATACGAAATCACCAAGAAGCTCTGGCAGTACATCAAGGCGAACAGCTTGCAAAACCCGACGAATGGAAGAGAGGTGAGAGCTAGGCAGCACAGTTGGAACCGCCTGCTTGACTGACTCGACCTTTCTCTGGCTCATAGATCTTGTGCGACGCAAAGCTTACGGATTTGTTCGGAAAGTCCAAGGTGGAGTGCGTAGTGCTGCGCTGGTCGCCCGCAGAGATGCCATGCTAATCGCAAGTTTCTGCTGCTCCTTTTGATTCGAAAAGCTCCTTCGCGATGGCAAAGGTGCGTTGTGCTCTCTCGTGTGCTGGCGTGCTCGCTTGATGTGCCCGTCTGCTGATCTGCTGCGCTCCGCTCCGCTCCGCTCCCACCATCATGCGTGCGTCCCCGCCCGTCAGCTTGTATCTCAGCATGTCAGGCGCAAAGAAGATCTCTGAGTCATGCCACGCTTCATCAACATTCGTCATCTAAATTACTCTCTTCTCCTCGATTGTCTATTCTCATATTTCCCCGATTGCCCCTCCTCACCTTGAGCGCCTACACTCGACTCGCGTCTTGGCAAAGCAAAAAGCAAACAACAAGCAGACAAAGTGGGACCCGGCCTTTGAACCCTCGAAACGCCTTTGGCGTGGTGCTGCACACTGCCGTCTACATAATCATCTTCAAACGTCACACATTTTCGAGATGGGAATCGATGCCTCGATGCACTTGATCCATCGCTGAGTCATCAAGCCCAATGTCAGGAGTCTTGCGTCGTCCTTTGTTGAAGCTCAATGCGCAATTCCCGGTCATCAAGAGGCGTGAGAAGCGAACACCGCTGCACGTGATTGCGTGGTGGACGCGCCAAAACGCGTACACGCGCGCCCCCGTGTCGTGTCACTTTTGACAATGGCGTCGCACGCGTAAATTCTCGCTATGCAGCCAGCCGCGCGCCGCGGGACGTGCATACTGTACAGTGCTCCGACTGCGCGCTGCACAAATCAGCAGAGGGCAGATCGAAGGAGGAGCTAGGAGATCATATATGCAGCGATGTCCCCGCCTCGCTCGCCTACCACATGTCTGATTGTCACGATCGCCTGAGAGCATATCACTTCGTGCGCAGAACTCGTTCACGTCTACACGCCGCTCTTATCCTTTGCATTCGTTCCCTCCGGCCCTTGACCACGCCCGCTTGCTCGCTGCTGCAGCTTTCCCGGGGTATCCGTGCGTCAGCCAAGATCACAAGTCTCGCCAGACCCGACCTTCATCTCGCCTTGTACGCAAGATTGGGGAAACCCCGTGCCGGTGCCTCGGCTACCTTGGCTGGTGCGCGGTAGCGCCTGACCGAGCGCCGCAAATCCCCCTACAGGCGCACGAAAGCTCATTGACGATTCCGCTGCGGCTGTGTCAGCTAGAATGGACGCTGAAAGACTTGGCGAGGCCTCAGGATCGCGTACAGCGCGTGTGGATCGAGCAACGCCTGAGCCAGAAGAGGAGGGAGGAGTCGCCGCTCGAGCAGTCAGCCCTTTCAAGTTTGTCTACGAGCAACCCCACCTCTTCGAGTCGCATACACGCGGACCGTCTTTGGAAGAGCCAGCGCCCGAGATGGAAGCGGACGCTGATGTGTCGCTTGACCACTCGCCGGCCTTATCGGCTGCGAGCAGCATACACTCTGGTAGACAAGCTACCATGTCTCCTGTGCCGAGCGCACATGGCGGAGCAGATGTGTATGCCCCTAGCGACTCGGCGTACGATGAGGAAAAGAGCGATATGGACGAGTATCGAGAAGCTGAGCAGGAGGAGGAGGAGAACGTGCAATCTGATAGCTCAGAGTCTGTCTTTAGGTCAGATGAGGAGGCAGAGAGGCTGCAGGTGGAAGTTCAAGAGCTGTACGACAAGGTGTCGGGTCTGGAAAACTTCTACTCGATCGTGGACAAACTTGGTGAAGGTGGGCAGACCGCGCGTCGGACCGATGTCCGCCATCTCGCATACGCGCAGCTAACACTCGCCGCATCGCGATCTCGTTTCAACCCAGGCACCTTCTCGTCCGTCTACAAGGCGATCGATGTGCATCACTACGTCTATGACAATCGCAGTTGGAGCAATGTGGACCCATACCAGCAAGCTCCCGTCACGGCGCCTGGCAGGCCAGCACGCAATCACTACGTTGCATTGAAGCGCATATACGTCACTAGCAGTCCCACCCGCATCCTGAACGAGCTCGAGATTATGGCGAAATGCAGGCGAGTGTTGTTCCACCGCATACAGCGGGTGAAGCCAGACCCGAGGCACTGACCTGCCCCGTCTTGCCCCCACCTTGCAGGGACCGAAGTCACCTGGCCTACCTCATCACCGCATTCCGATCAGAGGATCAAGTCATCGTGGTCATGCCCTACAACCGCAATCGCGATTTCAGAGTCAGTACCGAGCTCAAGGATTGCATTTGAGACGAGGCTGCTTACACTGCCTGCTTGTGCGCCTCGCCTCAGGATTACTATCGCCAGATGCCATTGTCGGACCTCAAGTGCTACATGACTTGCCTACTCAAGGCTCTCGAAGGTCTGCATCTACTTGGTATTGTCCACCGAGATGTGAAGCCAGCCAACTTTCTGTACGATCCCGACACTGGCGAGGGCACGCTGTGCGATTTCGGATTGGCAGAGGTGAGCGCATGCATGCTGTCCAAGTCTGACAATCTCAGCTCAGTCCGACCTTGCTATGGTGTTGTTGCTCCTCAGACGCTCGACTATAGGCGCTGGCGAGGCAAGTGTCACCACTCGAAACCCGAGGGTTACTTTCGTCATGGCCAGATCAAGATCAATCTCGACGTCCCCTCCTTGCACTTCTCTCCCGGAGGACTGCTGGACGATATGAACGGACCTTACAAGGCGCTTCCGGAGAGGAGCTCTGTCGGCCTCTCGGCGAAGCACAGTGCCAACGTTGGTGGAAAGGGCAAAATGGGACCTCCAGAGCGAGTGGGGTACCTCAAGGAGGATGCTAGGTGAGTCTGGAGCCTAGAGCTTGGGAAAGCGCACGCGCTGAACACGGACCAGTCTCGCTGCTTGATCGATTGTTCCAACAGATATAGCATACAGGCCAACCGTGCGGGCACCCGCGGATTCCGCGCTCCCGAGGTGCTTTTGAAGTGCCAAGATCAGACGACTGGTGAGTGAGGGAGCCCGGGAGAGTGGATGCGGCAGCGTGTATAAATAGCTGACACGCATCGTCCACTGACCGCACTAGCCATCGATACTTGGTCCGTTGGCGTCTTGATGTTATGCTTCCTCATCAAGCGTTTTCCACTCTTCAACGCCAACACCGACACGGAGGCTCTGTTGGAGCTGATGATGATGTTTGGTAAGAAGCGCATCGAGCAAGTCGCCCTTCTGCACAGTGAGCATGGGCGAACATTTCTTTGAGGTGACGAGCGAGGGAGAAACGGTCTCTTACACGCACGCTGCTTCTTTTCGCAGACCGCACATTCTACACGAATCTTCCAGGCACATTCAACCCCCTGGAGCGCGATCCTACTAGAGACGGTTTCCGCCTTCCGGAATTCGTGCAGCATCTCAATCCTGACATCTACGAAGCGCCACTCGACCATCCGGATCCTGCGCAATACATCAGAGAGGTGGAGAGAGCGATCGATCTGTGCAGGAGATTGATGCAGCTAGACTTGACGCGCAGGTACGATGCAAAGCTGGCACTTAGGCATCCCTTTTTGAACGAGGAGACGGCTCGTTCGGAGGATGAGCACAGGGAAGCGGCGGCTGCTGCTGCTGCTACCAATATTGCTACAAAGTTGGAGCATTGATCGAAGCTCAGGGGCAGACCTCCCGATTCGCGCTACCTACAGTTCCCATCGCCCAATCATTCTCGGCTTCAACACACGGCAGCGCACGAGCTGACCAGAGCAGTGACTTGCGCTCTCGAGCGAGACATCGGTATAGAAAGCCGCGATTGTCCCGAGCGTCCAATCCACCGAGTAGACGCAACACACGCATTCACGATTCAAGAGAACCCCCTCGCATTGATCTCACGCATACATGACCATCGTCAAGCACACACGCACAGCATTCGACCCGCCCAAATTGTGATACCCATCAAGGAGATGCCGTTTGAGAGCGAGTGTGGCCATGAATGAGCTCAGCATCGTGCATGCACGGCCGAGAATGCGAGAATGAGCGGAATCTGTGAGCTAGACACTGCACGGTGAGCGGGCTGAGTGAGTGGAGCATGTCTTCGGGACATGAAGCGCAGCTGTGTGGGTGAAAGCTATATTAGCGGCCTTTTGCACCGCCTCATCCATCCATCGTCTTTGGCAGAATCGTGATTGTGAAGCAAGACTGTCACGATTCAAGACCTCACAAGTCACACAGTCTATAGTCAGACTCTGGCAAAAAAAAGCTTGGATGGATAAAGATGTGAAAGGAGAGCAAGGCTCGACGACATGCTTACATGCTCGCCCGCTCGCTCGATCGATCGCAGCCGACTGGCCGCATACACGTACACGTCTGCCTCATCTTGTGTTTGGCTCTTCACCACTGCGTCACCTCGCAAAAGACGACGAGCTGGAGGGCGTGATAGGCTGGATTCAACGACAAGGAGACACGAGAGCAAGCAAGCAAGCAAGCAAGCATGACATGGCATGGCATGGCATGGCAACGACTTGCATGCAAGCACATCTCACCCTCGTGACTCACGACGGTGACGCGTGATGCTATGCAGAGTCCACTCGTGTCACACGCGAGGAGAGTCGATAAGCCTCTCAAGGCCTCTCGACGCATCCATCCATCCACGTCGGCATCGCACGGCACTTCTTGAGGTAGGGAAACGTACAACAAGGGAGAAGGTTTTTGTTCCTGCAGAAGATCTCGCTAGCAAAACGCCCTGCACTTGTGGCGGGCTTCCTGCGACGGCGTTGCGCAAAAGGACCGTCAAGGCAAAGCTGTAGATGCACGTCCATGAAGCGGAGTGTCGGTGGCAAAGGAAGAAAAATACAATATTCGCAAGTACAAGGAAAGTGCTGGAGCACAGAGAATGCAGGGGACGAGATGGCCCGAAAGAAGTACAGTAGCGCGATTTGCATCGGGGGCTCACAGGGGGGCGGAGATTCCGGCTTTTCAAGAGATTCGCCCTTCGATGGGTAGCAGAGTGGCCACGCCCATCAGCGGGACTCCATGAGCGGAGCAGACGAGCTGAAATGAGATGACGCAGGTTACACCCCCAACCAATCTCGCGAGCGCGGCATCCTCGTCGGCAGTGCGCGCGCGACCTGTCATCGTCGGTGCCGGCGTGTTGCGGGGAAGCCTGGACTTGTCCAGAGCGTACTTTCGAGCTGCTGGCGACACAATGTCGCCAGTCGCTCGAATCGCTTCATTGGTCTTGGGGCTTTGCAGCACTGTTGCGCAATGCTGCAGCGTCGAGCAAGTTCGATGTCAGCGAATGTGACAACATGCGCGGCTCGACTGCTGCCGACTGACCTCAAAGAGATGTACTGCCAATCCAGGACACAGAAAATCCTCCATGCCTACCATCGACAGATCAAATTGGCAAGCGTCTAGTCGCAGCAGGTCAACTAGATGCGAGTTGATGTCTGCAGTAGCGCAGGGAGGGGGGCGCATCAGCATCAGGACCTCCAAGCGTTGCTATGCGGATTCGCGGGACGATCACACTTACCACATACACGGCCCCATCTAGTGAGCAGCAGCATGGGTGCGGACACGCTCTCCAGCACAGCGTGCTTGTAATGTGCGTGCACTCGCGCAAAGTCGATGCTCAGTCTTTGCTTCTCCAATTCGTTCAATCCCATCATCTTGGCTGAGATCGCACCTCGAAGGCTCTCCAATGCTCGTGCCATTTTGCCCTCAAGGGCGGGAGACCATGCATGATGCTGGTCGGACGTCAATGCTGAAGCGATTCTAGCCTTGAGGTGCTCATACTCTTTCGCCTCCCCATCAGCCAGCTCCGCTTGCGACACGGACGCCTTGGCAGTGACTGTTGAGGGTATGGACAAGGTGAATGGCTTTTTTAGCGCTGCATATTGTTGCAAGCCGGTTCCAAATGCGGCGAGCGTTGCGCCGGCATCAGCGCTTGCTGTAGACGCAATGCTCGGTCCAATAGCTTCGGCATTGGACGCTTCACGTCCGCTTTCCAGCCCTCGCGAGGCGGTCTTGCTGGTGCTACCATCGAGCTGAGTGAAGGTTGGTACATTCTGCAAAGAGCCATCGCTGATGCGAAAGCTGCCCAAAGGAGTCAAGAGCGGTGGTTGGAGATGGTGCTGTTGTTGTTGCTGTTGTTGCCTCGCTTGGCCTGAAGGCGCCATAGCTCCTGGGGTGAGAAGTAGATCACCTATCGGCTCGCGGTAATTCTCGCGCAAGTACGTCTCAAAGGGTGTCAAGCCGCTTCCAACTCCAAACCCAAACTGACCTGGCGTCAAACCGCTCCCTGCCACTAGACCCGAGGCAGACGTTCCACTTGTCTGTGGAAAAGCTGCCCAAAACAGCTCGCCAGTTGGGATTTGCAGTTGCCCATTGGGTGATGAGAGTTGATCCAACGAGAGTAGAGGAGCTGGGTCGCTTGCAGCTAGCCTCTCAACGTTGGACGAAGAACTGACGTCGCGGGCGCCGTGCGATGAGATCTGGGAGCAACTCGCAGCTGAGCTCGTCTTGGCTAGGTGCGCCAAGTCGACGCTGCCAAAGTAGGCCTCATCTTCATTTGGAGTGTCGCGAGTCAAGGCTGCCATGAGCACAGCGCTCGGAGGTATTTTCAAAGTTTCTGATTTAGAGCTGTCACTATTTTCGGGCCCGACCTGAGAGGACACGGGTGATGCTGGACGAGAGGGTATTGGCTCGAGCGTCTTGCGCCTGCTCGTTCTCTTGAGCTCGGCGGTGCTTTGGGGTTCTCCATTTGTTGCGTTAGAAGCGCTGCATCTCCGCTTCCTGCCTCTCAAAGTCTTCTTCGAATGTTCCTCCACGTTCGCCGGCGGACTACTAGGTCCTGCGATGGCAGCCGCAGTCGCGATGGGCTCTTCGTCCGCGCACATGTGCGCAATTCCCCGCTTGTGACTGGAGTATAGCGAACTTGTACTTCAATGATGGGTCGAGCGCATGTCTCGTTCGAACACTCACCACCTTCTGCATGGTCTTTCATCATCGCAGGTCATGTGGCTCCGCTTGCAAAACACGCAAGCCTTTGCGACCTGGCAGCAACGATGGCATAGTGGGTGAGTAGAAGAGGCATGGTAGTCACTCGCATTGGCACGCTCACCTTCTTTATGCGTCTACGTTTCAGGCCGTTTCCATCATCCACCAAAGAAGCTCCGCCTAATGATCGGTATTCGCGTCAGCAACGCAACGCTCTCTCACAAGCCGCACCGCAAAAGCAGCAAGCATACTCACGCTTTGGGGGCGAGCAAGGGACGCTGCTCCCATCTTTAGGGTCATACGCAGGGACAGGTCTCAAGTCGACGCCCGGCACCTCTCCCAGATCTTTTAGATAGCGAAACAACTTCCGAGGTCGACCGCGACGAGTCAGACCTCGGACCGCACTATCAGCATCGCCATTGAGGGCGATGCGGGTGGCGCTCGACTTGTTCGTCGAATCCGACCTCCTTGGACTCGTAGTGGACGTCGAAGCTTCGGCTGATCGTGTTGCGCTGCCTGCCTCTTCGTCTTCAGAATCCGAAAGTGCGCTCCCCATCAAAGTGCTACCCGTCGCATCGTGGCGCGAAATGGAGGGCGCCGTGGGGATATGCGAACGCATGAGCATGGAAGCCTTTGCACCTGACCCTTGCATCGATGCACTCTTTGCAAACCAAAACGATTCGCCTGCACGCAAATCCTCCGGAGTTTTGGGAGCAGCAGTAGAAGCAGATGTGCTGCTCCCTGTGCTGCTGCTGTTTCGATGAAGCGCGTGGTTCATAGCGTTTCCAAGCATTCGTGCGGTGCGATGCTGAAAACACGACAGGCGCAAGAAGCGTCCTGAGTGCAGTCCGAGTTAGAGTGTTGCAAAGGGACGTCAAGGTTCGAATGAGGAAGCAAGAACGCCTTGCTCTGTTTGCTCGGGGCAGCTTGCGGATGGTGATCAATTTGCGCGAGTGCGAGTGCGAGTCCTCCTGGCAACTCGACGACGTTCGCATGCACCCTTTAGAAAGTAGAAAGTGAACAGGTCTGCGCTCGTGATTGATCGACCTTTGACGTTGTGCTTATCGGCAAAGCTCGTGCTGCTTGTGACCTCTCCTCTGACTTTGCTCTGTCGGGTCATGCAAGCGGCACATGTGAGGTCAGTCAGGCACGAAGGCACATTGACACCTCGACGTGACTTGCTCGTCGATCCTTTTGCAATCAAATGTCTGGATCCATGCGCATGCGCATGCTGCAAGCAGAAGCAACGGCACGACACCTTGGCAAACGAGATTCATTGGATCTATTTGCTGACTACTCAGACTCGCGCACAACGGCTCTCATGCTTTGGCTCTGCTGACTCGGCCCGCAACCACGCACGAATCACTGTGCAGTCTGTGCGATAGCGGCGGGCTTCTAGGCGAGTGCCGGGGGGTGGGGAAGTCGTGGATATCGTGCATGGCCAGCAGCGGAAGTTATCACTCAACAGTGTACTGTATGTACTTCAAGAGCTCTGGCGGGGTGCCGTTGAGCCAAATCAATCGGACGCTAAGCGACGTCAGAGCGGGTCTAGAGGGCCATGGGGCCACAAGGAAGCAGACGGCGCGAGGCTGCGGGGCCCCGCAAGCCACCGACCGTGCCTCCCCCCGCCGGTCATCCTTTGCGTTTGACGGTGCGGATCGATTCTCCCGTCATGCTCTTGAGCGCTCGCAAATTCGGAACATGTGGCCAGCTGCTTTAGGAACGACGAGGGGCAGGCAGGTGCAGGAGCTCATCAGGGGCATCAGAGAAGCAGAACAAGATCAATTGAACAACAGTCACAGTCTGACAGATGGAGAAGGAGGCAAGAAAGTCTCGATCTTCTGTCTCTCTGAGCTGAGCTGAAGGTCTGACCTGACGCCGGACCCTGAGAAGGATAGGTACAGGCACAATGACTGCGCTCTCCTGCCCACCTCGGCCACATGCTGCATGTGCCGCTCGGGGAAGCGCTACTTTTGCTGCAGGTGTGGGGAAACGTTGATCGACGATCAACGAAGGCTCTACGCATCGCATCGCATCGCATCGCATCGCACGGCTGCTCAGCTGCCCCAAGCCCCCAAATGTCCGCCCCTGCGCTAGCTAGCTAGCTAGCTCAGCAGCGCTCAGGCGTGCTTGTGAAAGCGCAAGTCTCCGACCGGCACGGAAGGCGACGAGCGAAGGGGTGGCCT